TCTTGAAATCCATTTCAACTTCATTGAAAACTACATCTCGACTGGTGATACTCCTCATGTGACCTGGCTTTAGGCACCATAGCCTATAAGCTCTGACTTCTTCAGGATATACCATGAACATGCATTTTCGAGCTCTAGGTTCGACCTTGTCTTGCCTAATGTGAGCATAGGACATGCAGCCAAATACTCTTAGTTTGTCGATATCAGGTGGATGTCCGAACCAAACTTCTTCAGGTGTCTTCATATCTAACAGAGTCGAAGGACATCTGTTTATCAGATATGTTATTGTCGAAACGACCTCAACCCAAAACACCATCTTCAATCCAGCACTAGTTAACATGCATCTAACTCAAAATCCAATCCAATCTTTTCTGGAACCGCTGCTTGAAACCACAAGAACATCAGATGAGTCAAAATCATCTTGAACAATGGATGTGTTGCCATTATCCTTACCTCCATGATCTTTTAGGCGTTCAGGGAACACCTTTCTTGTGTGACCCTCATTCTTACAATGATAGCATCGAATACCAGATGCTTAGCCACTGTAAGACTTCTGCTGACTTTTACCTTTCTTCTTGTCGAACTTACCATCCTTTCGTAAGAATTTTTCCTTAACAGCTAAACCTTCACCAACCGTTGAAGGTTTATGCTCTTTTCATTCGTTCAAGTCCTTAGAATACAAGGAAAATTACACTTCTTCAAAGGTCAGGCACTCCCTTCCATACAAGAGAGTTTCTTTGAAGTGGGCGTGTGATATGGGAAAAGCTCACAACAACAACATCGTTGATATTCATCATCGATCTTTACATCAATATTTTCAAGATCAAGAATCAGCTTATTGAACATATCCAACTGCTCAGCCAACACTTTGTCTTTAATCGTCTTGAATAAATACAAAGCTTACTTCAGTTAGAGTCAATTTACCAGCGATTTGGTCATGTACAAACTTTCAAGTTTCACCCATAACCCTGATGATGTTGTCTCCTTTGATACCTGTCGAAGAACCTTATCACCAAGGCTCTACAAGATTGCGCTTTGGGCTTTTTCTATCGCGCCCGTCTTTTCTTTTTCCGTTAACGCAACATCCATAGTTGCCGCTCCTTTCAACGCTTCCAAACAACCCTGCTGAACCAGTAGGGCTTTCATCTTCAAGCGCCATAGACCGAAATCGTTCACTACGGTGAACTTTTCAATCTCATACTTTGTTGAAGACATCTTCTTCACGCTCATTGCACCAATTTGTTGTGAAAAACGATGCCTTAGAAATAAAGTATAAATTATTTCTTTATGATCAAGAAACAATAAAGGGTAGAAAAGATGGAAAAACAAGAAGAACACAAGGATTGGTTATTAACTGCTATTCTTTACTTTCTTTGTAAACAAGATTACAAGTATACGAGAATAACAAATAACCCCTCACCCTAAATTAGGATTTGCAGCATGCAATGATGAGAGACTAGTATGCTATTTATAATAAACCTAACATACTAAACTAATGAGCTTTTTCACAAATACCCATTATGAGCTAACTTAGAGTACAAGCTAACTTAAATAATTGGACATAACAAACAGACTCAGTTAGTCATGCTAACAAACCTAGCATTTTTGACTAATGTGTGTTAGAACAACTTCAACTACAACACGCGCTACTTCAACAACAGCATGCGAACAAGCTTCGACGTCATGCTTATTCCCTGTCGAACTCGAAGCTACTCTTAGACCATCTAGAGTTCGATCCAATTCCCACAGATGAGGTGAAAGCTTCGTCATGAAAAACGTTATTTGTTGTAGTGTATGTTCCACTCTCCTAAGATCTTCACTTCTCTACCATTTATGCAAAGGTCCAAATGGAGGCACTCCTCGAAGTAACGTCTCGTTAATGAAACAAGAATTTTAATGTGCATGTTTCCAAGGCAACCAACTCACACTAGACATGGGATCTTCATCTCCCGAGTGAACCTTTTCAACAAAGAAGACATCTCACAAGGAACTCTCTTGCAGCTGGTCATCACGTTTTTATATCAAGTTATATCTTCAAGTTTGATAGCAAGAACTTAGGGATAACTATTCTAGGCCACACAAATAGCCTAATAATATCGGATGAAATTGGAAGCCCAATCGAACTCTACACCCACTCAAGATGACGAGAAAATGCACTCTCTCGAAGCAACCCCGCATTAGTGCATGATACTACTTCTCCTCAACAATTAGATACATTCAAAACACCCACAGGAGATGATATATTCACTAGAGACAGTTATAATCGTCGTCTTATATAAGTGTAACTCTAGTCACACCAAAGTAAGATTCATTACACACTCACAAGTTTTACCTCTCTTATTTTTTTGACGTGAACGTTGGAGTGCTAACCTTTCAAATACATCCCTTTCTGATCATTGAAGATTTTCGTTATGGTGCCGAAGACCTTCAACCAAAAATTTCACCCACTCACTACTTATTCTCTGTTCCACCCCCGAAATACAAACCTATACTTATTGGAAAGTCACAAAAATATTTATGATATATCTAGTAAATATTCATAATTTAAATACAAATATAAAAATACTAATATAATATTTATAGAGAAAATTAAATGTGAGTATGAGTGTCGAAGTATTCGCCACACATATAAATCATTTGACAATATTAAAAAATATTTAAATATATATCATAAATTTCATTTAAATTTAATTTAATAATATTAATTATAAATATTTTGAAATATATCTAGGTTAAAACAAAAATTATTAAAATAAAATTATTATTATTAAAAAAATTAAATATAAAAAAAAATAAGTTTCATCTTTTTTTCTTAAAAATTCAAATTATATTTTCTAATCAAATCTATCGAACACATTTTTAGTTTTTTCTTCTCTTAAACAAGTTTTAAAAATAAGGCTATCATACATATTTTATTTTATTTTTTATTCAAATTTTCTTAAAATTAATATATAAAATTAATTTTAAAAATTAAAAAATAGAACTCATTCAAACATACTCTAATAAATCTTTGGCCCGATGGATTAGTCTTTTGGACCATTCAGCCTCACTACAACTAATAGAAAGATAAAGGGTGTGAGGAGATTTTTTTTATAGAAAATTTAGGTAAATTATGAAAATATAATAAATATATAAATATTTTTTATAGAATAAAAATAAGAGAAAATTATATATATATATATATATATATATATATATATATATATATATATATATATATATATATATATATATATATATATATATATATATATATATATATATATATATATATATATATATATATTTATTAAAAATAATAAAAATCACACATATATTATTATTTTTTAATTAAACCTCTTCTCCTACCTTCTCATTTATCATCGACCGCATACTCCATAAAAAAACACAAATTCTAATTCAAAACCTCTTAATATGTTCCCCATTAAGAGACACTGAGACTGGCTTTTATAATTAATCAGGGTTTGATCACATATTAAATTTCTAAAAAACTAAAATAGAGTTATGTGTTTTTCCACGGTAGAAGTTAAAGATTATGCACTTTCTTCAAACAGTTTTTAAAATTGAAATTTCTCTATCCAACACCGAGAAAAGTCACATCAAGTTTTCATAAATATTTTAAAATTTTACATTAAGTTTGAACTTTAAATTACATATATAACGTACAAAAAGAGGTTTTAATTTACGTATCCATTGTCGCCTGACCATGGAACTTAATAATTCATTAATTAAGAAAAAAAATAGGCATAGATTTTGACACTCTTAATCAATAAAAACCATATATTCAATTAACATAACTTTTATTTTTAAAATATTAATATAAAATGATAAATATAATTTTTTTATTAGTTATAGGTGTAGTATTAATTTATGTGCACCACTTTTAAACTCTTAATTAATTAAAAGTATTAGCACATCTAAAAAAAAATTTAATCTTAAAAGTTTGAAATATATGTTTTTTTTTATAATTTAATAATTTTTTATCAAGATTAATTATTATATTCTGTCAATGTAAATTTTTTATACAATCAATTCATGACAATTATTTAAATATTCTATTTTATTAATAATTAAAATAAAAATTATATATCATTAAAATTCTAACGATCATAAATAATGATAGTGTAAAATTTCTTTACACCATCGATGCATATCAATTAAATTCATTTTTGTCTCGTTTTAATTTTTGCATATTTTTCCTTTTCATTATATGAGTCTTATATAAAAATATTAATTGTTGTATTTCTCAGTTTTTTAGAATAAAAAAAAACATAACAAATATTTTTGTTAGGTTTTACTGAATTTCTGATATTAATTATTACTGTTTTTTCATTTATTTTATAATAAACAATACAAAAATAAATTACAGTACTATTAATGAAAGAGTGAAATTAAAATAATAATACTAATTCAAATTAAAATAAAACAAAAATAAAAAGTGATAATTTTTTGAAATAAATGTTTTCTTAAGACTACACGTGGCAGTTATTATATATAGAAGTTTTTTTTCTAAAATAACTTCATAAAGTTAATATCTATTGTTAAAATATTATTTGTATATATTAAATTAAATTGTACTAAATAAATATTTGTTGATATATTTTTAAAATTAATCTAAATAAATAATATTACTAGATAATTTGATATGATACGCATTTAAACTAGATTTGATATATTGTTATGAGATAAATCCGCCAGATATACAGTGAATAGTGACTAGTTTGATGAATCACAACATAACAAACACATTAATTAACAACATTCCTAAATATCAATATCTTATTAATTAGCAATAAATTCTGTTCAACTTTGCAAGCAATATCTTTTCTATGTATAGACTTTACTTTTAATATAAAACAACCGAATCTCTTCTCATCTCATAACTTCACACACACACTTCTGGTATTCACTTGCATAGTAAAGCGTTTATAATCTCTTAATCTTAGTTTGAATTCAGATTCAAATCATTTCCTTGTGATCAAGAATTCACAAAACTCAACATGAGCAAGGTGAAGGAAGTTATTATCCGTCAGGTCTGGGCATATAATTTGGAGTATGAATTCAATCTCATACGCCAAGCTATCCATCAACATCCTATGGTTTCAATGGACACCGAATTTCCGGGCGTAATTCATTCACCTAAAATCGATCGTCATTGTCTTCAACCCTCTGACAACTACCGTTACTTGAAGGCCAATGTTGATGCTCTTAAGCTCATTCAAGTTGGTCTCACCCTTACCGACTTTAAAGGAAATCTTCCTGATTTTGGTAGCATTTACAGTTATATCTGGGAATTTAATTTCTGTGATTTTGACGTCAATCACGATCCTTGTAATCAAGATTCTATTGATATGCTTCGCCGTCAAGGGATTGACTTCAACCGAAATTTCTACTACGGTGTAAATTCAATGCGTTTTGCTGACCTAATGTTTACATCAGGACTTATTTTCAATAAATCACTTATGTGGGTCACATTTAGCAGCGCTTATGATTTCGGATATTTGGTAAAGATCTTAACTCGAAAGAATTTACCTAACCGTTTAGAAGATTTTCTAAAAATCGTAGAAGTGTTGTTTGGAAATAAAGTATTTGATATGAAACACATGATGAAATTCTGCAACTTTTTGCACGGTGGTCTTGAGCGAGTAGCTAATACTCTAAATATTGGTCGGATGGTTGGAAAGTCTCATCAAGCTGGGTCTGATAGTTTGTTGACATCTCAGGCATTTAGAAAAATGATAGAAACTTGTTTTATAATTAATAAAGTTCCTGAGCTTAAAGATTATACCGGAGTTTTATTCGGATTAGAGATTGTTGCTTAGTGAAATCGAATACAAAACTATTGTAAAAATTGAAAAATATATATAAAAAAATTCTGATTATTTTCTATTCTCTTATTTTAAAAGTCAAGCATATAAATTATTTTTACTCACAATTATAAATTTAATTAAAAATGTTTTAGGTTTTTAATTTTATAAATTTATATTTGGCCATTCATTTTTAGAGTATTGGATATTAGTCCTTCTTGTTAGATCTGTTCATAAGCATTATAATTTCTATCAATATAGAGATCAAGAATAGAACTCTAAATAAAACTCTTAAACTCATATACGAATACAATTGTGAGAATGAAAGCAGAAGCGTACATGATTCTCCTCTGATGGGAATGAAGAGATGATTCCTGATAAGTCATTTTATGTTTCTACAAATGGGGACCATAACCCCTATAAATAATCTTAGGGTTATTTCTTAGTATTCAATATTCTAATTTGACCTCTCATCAAATTAGATATTGACTTATGGTATCTACACAATAACCTGACATTTCATGACATTTATGCTTTTAGCCACAAACATAATATTATATTAATTAGACCCCTTTAAGTCTTGACTAATTAAAATAATGGCACTAACACCTTAAATGTTATATTTCTGACCCAAAATTCTAACAATCTCCCAATAATCACATATATAATCATATACATGTGTTAGACTTTATGAGCTCAAAATTCACCATTATATTCCTTAACACTGCTACAAATAACGCATGTAATATTGGATGCGAAAGATGTTTTACCTCGGTATCGAAAGCGAGGTAAATCAGGTCATCATAAAAAGTAAATACTTATCACCTCGTTGTTTAAAACAGAGGGGTATTTTAATAGTGCATGGATTCGATCCATAACAACTACATTTTTATTATTTTCAATAATAACGTCTCATGTGTCTCGATTTTTTAATAAAATCGAAGGATAAATTAGTAGTATTTTTTTAAATTTAAACTGGTTACATTGTTTACACGAAAAATTAATAAAATATTTTATTTACAAATACAATGTTTACGTAGAATATTAAACTGGTTACATTGTTAACACAAAATATCAATATAAAATTTATTTTTCCATGAATAATTATATGTTGGATCTTCAAATCCTTGATATCCCAAAGAGGATCAAATGCTGGAAACAATATATTTTATATTGCTTTTCATTGCATTTGTTTATGATATTAACAAAAAAAAAGGTTAGATAAATAAAGGGTTAGATGAAAAAAGGGTTAGATGAAAAAAGGGTTAGATAAATAAAGGGTTAGATGAAAAAGGGATAAATAAATATTTAAGTACACAAACCTTAAACGTAAATAATTTTCTGCTCTTGCAATCCATCATAGAGAATACTTCATAACAAAGACTCTTGCATATCTTAAAGCGGAGGATAGTTTCAAGCGCTTCATATGACGTTCTATTATCAATTTTTTATATTTAAAATGCTTTTATAATGGAAGTTAACCTAGGTTTCACGTGGATCACTAATGAAAGTTTCTTGACCGTTGATAATCATGAAATGGACGACAAAGATTTAATTAAGGGCAGTGACAAATATCATCAACTTTAACGCTAAAATATCCTCTCGGTTTTGAGAAAAACCAAGGTGCAAATATTTTTTTAATTACATTGTTTACAAAGAATATTAGAAACACAATATATTACAACAAATTCCCATTAGTGTTTAAGCTTAATGGATTTAACAAAAGCATAGTCTTTATTCAACCGAATTCTGCTAATTAATAGTTGTTGTACCCTAAAATTTGTCCTCCCATATTTCTCAAACATTGCAAGAAAAATCTCCAAGTTGCTCAAAGTAGTTCAAGAGTTGGTCAGACAAGCTCTCTCCTAAGGCAGTCTATCCCAAATTAGGGTTTTGTGTTGCATCAATATCTTTGAGTCCAAATAACCTAAAGTTCTCCCCAATGTCCTAATATGTTCTCAAGATCATCCATGTCAAATTTCAAGCCTTGCAGAAGAAGTTTGCTCACTCAATTGCTCAAAGGTCCAAAAGTCGACTGTGCTAGGGCAAAAGTCAACAGTGACCTACATACAGTCAAACTTCAAGATTTTTTGTCAACATTCTCATTTTAAAGGATATTTAATCATTTGATCAAGGGTTGATCATGATTCATCAAGGATTGCTCACAATTCATCGATATTCAAAAGTTGCTAAATTAGGGTTTTGTAGGAAAAGTCAACTTAACTTTGAACAAGTATAACTTTCTCATACTTTATGAGAAATGACCCATCCAAATCTCATTTTGAATAGGATGAAATTCCCTACAATCCATCTTCATACCCCAAGATCAAAATATCCACTCACAAGAAGTTATGAATTTGGACATTATAGGTCATTTTTTAAAGTCAACAAAAACACCTTTTTTGTCAAAGCTTCTAACTTGATCATGGAATATAAAAATGAGATGAGACCAAAAAGGTTGGCTATATGACATCTCAAGCTTTCTAAAAAGTCCAAGAATACCTCCAAAAGTTCAAAATTGAAGAAGTTATGCATTGTTGAAGTTGGACTTTTTTGCAAAATTGCCAAAAGTCAACTATCCCCAAAACTTCAAATTTTGCCAAATGGGCCATTCTTTTTCACTTATTTTGAGTTTTCATTATTGACCACGTGCTCTAGCTTTAACCATGTGTCCATATCACATTTTTATTAATTATTTTGATTTTTATTTGAATTAATTTGATTTAAATCAAATAAAATCAAATAAAATCCAAAGCATTGATACCAATGGATTTTTTTACTGTTTCGGGCTTTAATCACAGCTAGCAAACCATTCTCAATTCGTATCAAGGCATAAGGGTACAAAAAGATTAAAATCAAGCCAAAATTGGAAGGTGGTAAAGGAAGATCAAATCAAATATTCAATCATCAATGTAGGAAGATTTGGACAAAGTTTGTTACCCTAATACACTGAGCAATACATAAAGGTCGTGTGCTCACAAGTATCAGGGTTGGAAATCAATTGTGGAGGCAGAACAAAACTTGCAAAAACAAAGAAAAAGTGTGACTTTGAAATCAACCCTAGAGGCATTTTCAGGGCTTGATATTGGTCTCAATCGTTTCCGTGCCATCACCACAAGCGAAACCAATCACAACCACGCATTTTCCAGCCTCTCAGAACACTGTAAGTCTCACGCGAGGTAGCCCTGTTCTTGATTTCGTATCTCAGAAATTAGGCATTGTTATAATGAAATAATTGCATATTTGTAATCACCATGCCATTTGCAAGCTTTTGACATTAACCAATTGCATTTATCTGACCTGTATGAAGATCCACCATAGTTAGGGTGTTCTTGGAGTTTTTGGGGGTTTTCGTTTCAGGTACAATTGATCTTCATGATGGACATGGTTGTGATCAGCAGGTTGAGACGAACTTAACCATGTTCTTAGAATGCGTTTATATGGCCTGGAGAGGATTTTAGGATGAAGCCACGGTCTTAGCTGCGGATAAAAATCCGCAGGTAAAAGTTGCAGATCCTCAAGGACAGGGACAAACTCGTGTCATCCATCCATTGGCCGGTTCAAAATAATTGCGCGTTTTTTTATTTTTCTGGAAATTGATTTGTTTTTTATATAATATATTTTGTTTGTATTATTATAACAAAAACAACAAAGCGCTTCAGTGGTAGCCACATAAGCCTTAAGGACCCAAAGGCTGGAGGTCAGGGGTTCGATCCCTCCCTCCAGCAAATTGCATTTTCTCAATTGTTTTCAGGGAATCAGGTGTGTGTTTAAGCTGGAGGTCCACCATCCACATCCCTCCTCCATGCGCCAGATGGCCAGATGGCCAGATCTGGTGGCCAAGCCTCAAAGGCACACCATAAGCCAGTCAATGTGTACGCACAGGATCACCAAAAGTCCACACGGATCAGCTTAATGGGCCAGCCAAAATTTCTTTCAACACCACCCAAATCAGGTCCAATTTCTCATTCTCTTTATATTTTATTTATTTAACTTATTTACTTTATTTTTATTTAATTGATTTTCTAACCAATAAACCAATTTTCTTTATTTATCAAAAAATCACCAAAATACTTTTTTCAAAATTTTATTTTCTTAAATAAATTTTAATTAATTAATTAGGTTTTTATTTCTAGAATAACTTTAATTTATTTTGTAAATAAATAAAATTAATTAGAGTTCATTAGGTTTTAATTCATTTAATTATTTTTATTTTCTTTCTTAAAATATTAAAAACTCCAAAAAACTATGTCATAAATTATTTTTCATTAATTAATTTATTTAATAATTAATTTAGTATTTAATTTTAGGATTAATTTCTTTTCTTAAATAAAAACAACACAAAACATTTTCTTTAATCAAAAGGGTCAAAACCCTAATTCCACATTCGATTTAATTTCCCACGCACTTTATTTATTTTTATCCATATTGATGTATCTGCTTCCGGTATGTAATAGATAATTAGGACCTTTTATTTATTTTACCGCTTTATTTTATTTTCAAAGGGTTGCTTTTGGCGATGTAAATACCCGACGCCTTGTAATTTAATTTCCGCATTTTAATTCCACAAATTATATAATTGCTAGATGTTTGATAATAGGGTTTGCATGACAAGACTGAATGTTTAATCTTAAAATCAAATTAGATCACCCTTAACATGTGCAAAGATAAAAATAACTGAAAACGACACACTCGCACATGCGCACTCTTAGGGTACACCCCACTTGGTTGCCTTCATACACGGTCATTGAGTAATGGTTGTTTTAGAGGTCGTCCTCTTGTCTAAAAGATCATAGTCCCCTCAAAATCGTTGCCTCGGATATTGTTGCCTCAAACAAATGATCTAAGACATTAGGATTGCCGCTAAGGCGTCCTAACATTGCTTTAGTGACCGTATGCCCCTCATTCGAATTGACCCTCAAACTCCAACGACGGTGCTACCTACTCACTAATAGTGGGATATCATTGTCTAAAGGAAATTAGCTTAGAACGATTCCTTTTTCGAGTAGGTAGAT